CCACCGAGCCCGGCTGCAAAGGGAACTTCTAAAACTGCCCACCTTCCCGCGCCTCCCTGCTCACAGCCCCTGCAGCGGGCATCGGGGGTCTCTCAGAGAGGCCCTCCACCCACCTGGACACCCTCATCTCCACTAATTCCACACAGACTTCTGGCACCCTGGGCTCTCTTGGACACCTCTGAGTCTGTGTGTTTGCTATTCCCTCTCACTAGAACACCTTTCCTTTCTTTATAAACCCAGGGAACTTATTCTCCTTTCTCTCAACTCATTACAGATGCCAGGGCCTCCCAGGCTTTGGGGCTACATTCTCCACAGCACCGATAACTCTAGGACCTTGTCCATCCTGCCTCCCCAGACTATAACTATGGGGCCTCAGAGAGAAGCCTGGGCCCCAACAGTGCTCAGCAAAAGCTAACATACGACAGTCTCTGCCAGTGTTTGTCGACTGACTAAATGGTCCTGTCCCAAAGAGGCCACTGGACACAACACCCTGAGGGGTAATCAAGGTGTTCCGTACTCCCTAACCAGGCCTGGACCACCCGTGGGAGCCCACCTAGTCACTGATTTGTTTCATTTTTTTGAGTTGGAGTCTCATCCTGTCGCCCAGGCTGGAGTGCAGCGGCACACTTACACCCCAGTGTTGACCTGCTGGGCTTCGGTAATCCTTCCGCCTCAGCTTAAGTAGCTGGAACTTACAGGGGCACACTGCCATGCCTGGCTAACCAGACACTGTGGTTGCAGAAGGGAGCAGGAGAAAGGTTCACAGACCTGGATTTGAGTCCAGCTCTCCCAATTCCTTGCTTTGTGATCCTAAGTGATTATCTAAGGCCTCCGAGGCTGTTTCCTCCTCTGTAAAAACCCTTCTGGGGACATTTATAGGCCAAAAGCCTATCCTCAATCTAAACTTTGACATCTTGCACAAAAATTAATTCAAAATAGATCACAGACTTAAATGTAAAATATAAACAAAACAACAGGAAACAACCTATCAAACTTTTGGGAAAAAATAGAAGAAAATCTTCTGAACCTACATACAAATTGGGTCACTCTTGTTATACTCAACTAAAACAGAGTCAAGAGGCCAGAGGGAAACAGTAGTCAGAGAGGGTAACATTGTTCCAAACATGTAACTCCCTGAGAGCCTGGCTGCTGAAATTGCTCCTGTAACCTGAAACCGCTTTTATCTATAGCTGCTGAGATGACTTGTTACAATTTCAGGTCTAATTTGGTCCACCATCACTTCTGAATCAGCACTTTCCAGCTACCCGAATACTTACTAGTGCCAGTGTGAACTTTCTCAAAGAGCTATACGTAACATATTTCTTTCTTTTTTTTTTTTTTGAATTGGAGTCTCACTCTGTCGCCCAGACTGGAGTGCAGTGGCTGCTCCCGGCCACCGCAGCCTCCACCTGCTGGGCTCCGGCGATCCTTCTGCCTCAGCCTTTCAAGTAGCTGGAACTACAGGCGCGCGCTACCACGCCCAGCTAATTTTTGATTTATTGTAGAGATGAGGTCTTGCCAAGTTGAACATATTTCTTTTTAGAAAACCTCAAACCTTCTCCATGACCCCCGCACACACTGAAGACCACCTGGCATGCGTGTATGTCCCAATTGCAATTCTTCCCAAATAAAACGTTCAATATAGAGATTCGTCTCTATGCAAAAAGAGTTCTTAGACTTGACACCAAACGCATGATGCATAAAAGGAAAACTCGATAAATTGGGACCTCATCCAATTAAAAATCTTAGCTCTGTGCAAGATCTCTGTGAAGAGGATGAAAACGGAAGCTACAGACGGGGAGAAAACATTTGTAGACCACATACCTGACAAAGGCTCTGTATCTAGAATACAGAAAGAGCTCACAAAACTCACCAGCAAAAAACAGACAATCCAGTGAGAAAAACAGGGAAAAGACACAGACAGACATTTCACCAAAGAGGACATATGGGTGGCAAGAAACCCATGAGAAGATGTTTAATAACATTAGCCATCAGGAAAGTGCAAATTTAAACCATGATAAGACACACCTATTAGAAGGACCAAAATTAAAAAAAAAAAATAGTGTTAACACTCCAGGTTGGCAAGGATGTGGAAGAGTGGGGTCACTCACACATTGGAAGGCATAAGAGGCAAAACAGTCTAGTAGTTTGTTTATGAACACGCAAGTTCCATAGCACCCAGGGAGAGCACTCGTGGGTGTCCAGGCCAGAGAAGTGAAGCCTTATGTTTATGCACATATGGACATGAATGCTCGTAGCAGGGTTATTTGTAATAATCAAAAGCTGGAAACAATCCACGCATCCTTCAGCTATTGAAATGGTTAAACAAACCGTGGTACTTGTCAGCAATGAAAAGGAAAAGGAACGAACTATTGATCCACACAACAACCTAGATGAATCCTCAGAGTATTACTCTGAGTGGGACAAAAAGCCAATCCCAATAGTTTACATTCCATTTATATAGCATACCATTTTTTTGTTATTGTCAAAGTCTTACTCTATTGATCAGGCTGGAGTGTAGTGACATGATCACAGCTCACCACAGTCTCAACCTCCTGGGCTCAAGTGATCCTCCCATCTCAGCCTCCCAAATAACTGGGACTAAAGGCTATTTTTTTTTTTTCTTGTAGAGACAGGGTCTTGCTCTGTTGCCGAGGCTGGCCTCAAACTCAGTGTGCTCAAGCGATCCTCCCACCTTGACCCTCCCAAAGTGCTGGGATTACAGGCGTGAGCCACTGCGTCCAGCCTATATATATCATTCTTGAAATGACAAAACTATAGAGTTGTAGAATAAATTAGAAATTGCCAGAGGTTAGGAATGGGTGGGGGCCAGGGGGAGAGGTGTGGAGACGGCTATAAATCTTTAGGGCTACAGATTTTGTGGTGATGGAACAGTTCTGCATCTCCACTGTGATAGTAGTCACACAAATCTACAGATGTGATAAGGTTGCATACATCAATACACTTACACACACATGAGTGCATGCAAAACGGGTGAAATCTGAAATAGCTCTGGGCTTGCACCCATGTCAATTATCTGGCTGTGATATTATTGTACGCAAGATGTCACCATTGAGGGAAACTGGGTGAAGGGCGTGCGACCTCCCTATTCATTTGTTTTTACAACTTCCCATGGATCAATCATTACAGACAGGTAACTGCAGAGGTCAGAGGGCCCTAGGCCTTTTGCCCTGAGAGCCAGGACTCCCTTAGAAAATCCCAGGGCCTCTGTGCACTGGTAACAACAAAAGGAAGAGGGTCTTAAAGACAAGGCTTCAGGCGTCCCAGGGCAGGGTTCACTCGCGGGGACTACCCCTCCTCGCTGGCCTGCCGGGAGGGGTCGGTGCAGGTATGTGCACAGGTACTTGGGAGGAGCCAGGGGGACTGTGCAGGAACCTGGCCTCTGGGGCCACCATATTCAGACACAGCATGAAGGCCTCGGGGTGGGAATGGGGGCTGTGTGGCAGAGAGTACAGGGCTCGATGCCTGAGGGGACAGAGCCGGAACCTCAGGGGCCCCGGGGAGAGCAGCCATAGGTCAGGGCAGAGGACTCAGGGACAAGGAGTCCGGACAGGTGATGGATGGCGGGGAAGGCCTTTGAGGGAGGCCGTTTGGGAGCACAAGGCCTAGAGATGTCACCAGCCAGCCCTCCGCAGCACAGAGCAGTGTCCTTAGGGCCTCGTCAGCCCCAACCAGACCAGAGCCAGCATGGAGGAGGGGAGGCAAGGGCTGGCCCGGTGCCTGGCCGGGCGGCACGCGAAGGGGTGGGGGCTGTTTGTCCCGCCGGGTTTAATGGGCTTGGCATTCCCGCCCTCACAGCCTGCCTTCAGATGTGGTCCCCACACCCCCCCATAACTAGAGTCCCCAGCCCAGGGGACGCCGAGCAGAAAGCCGGGCCTGACCCCAGCCCACAGCAGCCCTCTCCGCCCCTCCCTGCCTCAAAGTTCAGGCGGGAAGCTGCTCACCACGGGGCGCGTGGCAGAACTCAGAGCTGGGTACCTGCTAGGTACACACCTGGCTCTGTAAAAGGCCCTGGGGCTGGGTCGGGCAGGGCCCTACCCCTGCCTGGGGGCTCCCAGCCCAGGACCCCAGCCCTATTTCCACAACTGGACGGTCGCGCGGCCTTCCCGTCCCACCTGTCCCACCTGCGGGACTGGTCGGGGTTGATCCAGGGTCGCCAACAGACCCTGGGGCCGCAGGGAGCTGCCAAGGCTGTTGCTGACCCGCTGTGTGACCCAGGGAGAACCCTGTCCTTCTCTGGGCTGCAGTGTTCAAGGAAGTCTTAGGCTGTGGCCCCCGAACTTTTTGGAACCCGGGCGCCAGGG